CTAAGCAATACATTTCCAACTCCATCCATGAATTAAGAGTGAAACTGAACAGATACAGAAATATAATTGGACAGATAATTACTTCAGGAGACAGACAGTGAGCAGAGAAGAGCACTTTAAATCTGTAAATACCATGTGTTTCATTCCTGGATAGTCACTTCACTTCCTGGATATTGTTAAAATATACACTGTATCTTTGCTTGATTTTTTTTTTTTGTCGGTTGTGGGGCTTGAACTCTGGGCCTGGGCGCTATCCCTCAGCTCTTCAGCTCAAGGCGAGCGCTCTACCACTTGAGCTACAGTGCCACTTCCGGTTTATTGGAGATAGGAGTCTCACGGTCTCTCCTGCCCGGGCTGGCTTTGAACCGAGATCCTCAGATCTCAGCCTCCTGAGTAGCTAGGATTACAGGCGTGAGCCACCAGCGCCCGGCTGCTTGATGATTTTTAAGTGGTTTTTTTTTGGGGTGAAGGGTTGCATTATCAATTAGTTTTGGGGTTTTTTTTTTTTTTTGGTTGGTCGTGGGGCTTGAACTCTGGGCCTGAGCGCTGTCTCTCAGCTCCTCAGCTCAAGGCTAGCGCTCTACCACTGGAGCCAGAGGGCTACTTCCAGTTTTCTGAGTGGTTTATTGGAGATAAGAGTCTCACAGACTTGGGTGCCTGAGCTGGCTTTGAACTATGATCCTCAGATCTCAGCCTCCTGAGTAGCTAGGATTACAGGCGTGAGCCACCAGCACCTGGTTTCCATGAGACTCTTATGTCCAATAAACTACTCAGAAAAAGCTGTAAGTGGCACTGTGGCTCAAAGTGGTAGAGCACTAGCCTTGATCAAAAGAGCTCAGGGCTTGAGAGCCCAGGCCCCAAAACTGACAAAAAAAAAAAAAACTTACAAAAATTTAATATTGTTTAAGTAACATGACAATAAAGCAAAACCTTCACCTTCTGCCTTATCCCTCCTGCCTTTTAAGCAATTTTAACAGGTTTCATAGTTTTACTTTCATATATGCAAGCAAACTATATCAGCCATATCATCTAATGCTTTCCATAGGCCAAGGGTCTTCTGGATGGAATTATACCTTATTTAATTTTCACAGCAGCCACAGAAATAGGTATTTTCTCAATTGTACTGAGGAAAATGAGACTTGCTAACTTGCTAAAGATTACCTGAGTTAGAGTAAATCATATTTTTTTAAAGTTCTTGCTTTGTTTTGTTTCCTTATCAGTCATGGGGCTTGAACTCAGGGCCTGGGTGCTGTCCCTGGGCTCTTTTGCTCAACAACAGTGCTCTACCACTTTCAGTCACAGTGCCACTTCCAGTTTTCTGATGGTTAACTGGTTAAGAGTCTCACCGGCTTTCCTGTCAAGGGTGGCTTTGAATTGCAATCTTCAGATCTCAGTCTCTTGAGTTGCTAGGATTACAAGCACTGAGCTACCAGCGTCTAGCTACACTTTTTTTTTTTTTTGAGACTTGAGAAGCAGGAAGACCTGCCATGTAAACATTACTACAAGCATTTTTACTATGCTTCAGAATACTCTGTGCATTCACCCTTTTCCATATTTAGATTCCGAGAAGCAAGTCAGGAAATATAATTTTGACAGGCATGATTTACACAGGTCTGCCATCTGGGGAAGTAAGGCAGGAAGATCACAAGTTTGTTTTTTTTTTTCTTTTTTCCTCTTTTTTGCTTTTGGTCAGTCCTGGGGCTTGAACTCTGGGCCTGGGTTCTGTCCCTCAGCTCTTCAGCTCAAGGCTAGCTCTCTATCACTTGAGCCATAGTGCCACATCCGGCTTCTGAGTGGTTTATTGGAGATAAGAGTCTCACATCTTTCCCACTCGAGCTGGCTTTGAATCGTGATCCTCAGATCTCAGTCCCCTGAGTAGCTAGGATTATAGGCAGGAGCCACTGGCACCCAGCAGGTTTTTGTTTGTTTGTTGTCAGTTGTGGGGCTTCAACTCCAGACTTGGGCACTCTCTGTGCTTTTTTTTTTTGTCAGTCCTGGGTCCTGAACTCTAGGCCTGGGCACTGTCCCTCAGCTCTTCAGCTCAAGGAGAGCGTTCTGCCACTTGAGCCACAGCACCACTTCTGGGTTTTTCTGCTTATGTGGTGCTGAGGAATTGAAACCAGGGCCTCATGTATGCTAAGCAAGAACTCTAACACTGAGCTATCTTCCCAGCCCTCTGTGCTTTTTTGCTCAAGGCTAGTGCTGCCACTTTGAGCCACAGCTCAACTTCCACTTTTCAAGTGGTTAATTGGATACAAGAGCTCAGGGATTTTCTCCCTTGGGCTGGCTTTGAACCCCAACCTGCAGATCTTAGCCTCCTGAGAAGCTAAGATTACAGGTATGAGCCATCAGTGCCCACCTTTCGGAGGATTACAAGTTTGAGGCCAGCCTGGGCTACATATTACATCTGTCTGAAAAACAGACAACTGGACACTGGGGGCTCACACCTGTAATACTACTCAGGAGGCTGAGATCTGAGGATCATGGTTCGAAACCAGCCAGGGCAGGAAAGTTTGTGAGACTTTTTTGGGGAGTGGGGGCTTGAATTCTGGGCCTGGGCAATGTCCCTGAGCTTTTTCGCTCAAGGCTAGTGCTCTATTACTTTGAGCCACAGATCCACATTAGTTTTGGGTGGTTAATTGGAGATAAGAGTCTTCGTACTGGAATCCTCAGGTCTCAGCCTTCTGAGTAGCTAGGATTACAGGCATGAGCCACCAGCACCTGGCTATGAGAGACTCTTATCTCCAAGTAAGCACCAAAAAAGCCAGAAGTGGAGCTATGGCTCAAGTGGTAGAATGTTTTAGCCTTGAGCAAAAGATGCTCAGGGGGGGCTGGGAAGTTGGCTCAGTGGTAGAGCACTTGCCTTGCATGCCTGAGGCCCTGGGTTCAATTCCCAGCACCACATAAGCAGAAAAAAAAGCCGTAAGTGGCGCTGTGGGTCAAGTAGTAGAGCGCTAGCTTTAAGCTGAAGAGCTAGGGACAGCGCCCAGGCCCAGAGTTCAAGCCCCACGACCGACCAAAAAAAAAAAAAAAGTGCTGGAGAGTTAAAGAAAAATTACTGGGTTAGGAATGTGGCTTAGTGGTAGAGTTGCTTGCCTAGCATGCATGAAGTCCTGGGTTTGATTCCTCAGTACTACATAAACAGAAGAGGCCGTGATGTTGTGACTCAAGTGGTAGGGTGCTAGCCTTGAGCAAAAGAAGCTCAGGGACATTGCCAGTCTTAACTCATTGTTTCAATTAGCTAGCTTAGCTTTGATTTTTATGGAAGAGTTCAAACACACAGAAATCTCTCCAGAAGGGAGATAAGAGCAATAGAAATAGTGAATTTGATCAAAGAATTTTATGAAAGAGATGTATAGAGCTCTGTAGAGATTTTCTGTCGTATTAAATCCCTTTAATAGGGGCTAGGAAGGTGGCTCAGTGGTAGAGTGTTTGCCTTGCATGCCTGAGGCCCTGGATTTGATTCCTCAGCACCACATAATCAAAAAGAAAAAACCCAGAAGTGGCGCTGTAGCTCAAGTGGTAGAGCACTAGCCTACCATGCATGAGGCCTTGGGTTCGATTCCTCAGCACCACATAAGCAGAAAAAAAAGCCAGAAGTGGCGCTGTGGGTCAAGTGGTAGAGCGCTGGCCTTGAGCTGAAGAGCTGAGGGACAGCGTCCAGGCCCAGAGTTCAGGCCCCACGAACGGACCCCTCCCCCCCAAAAAAAATAAATCCCTTTAATAAAGAAATAGAAAAAAGGCATACAGAAGATAGCTTCATTCTTAATTCAGCAGAAATTAACACAAGAAATGTCTGAGTGACTTTGTGAACAGAATGTAGGATTAGAATGGCTGATCTGATTTACTCCTTGTTCTGCCTTAGTTAACTGTATAAACTGGTTTTTCTCATATAAACTTAGCAGGTGAGCTAGGAAGTAGTTCAGTGGCAAAGCACTTGCCTAGCAAGTGCAACGTCCTGGGTTTGATCCCCAGTACCAAAAGAGAAAGGACAAAAAATAAAATAAAATTTGAGGGTACAAACGATTGTTACTAAGATTTTTTTTTGTCAGTCGTGGGGCCTTAACTCTGGGCCTGGGCACTGTCCCTCAGCTCTTTAGCTCATGGCTAGTGCTTTACCACTGAGCCACAGCACCACTTCCGGCTTTTTCTGCTTATGTGGTGCTGAGGAATAGAATCCAGGGCCTCATGCATGCAAGGCAAGCACTCTAGCACTGAGCCACCTTCCCAGCCCCTACTAAGATTTTTTTTTAAGTTCTGAGAGTACAAAGATGGAAGTCACAAATGTTTTAAACCACAATGCTCAAACTGGTCTGCTTAGCTTGCTTAAGCATGAGTAGATAGGTAGGTGGGTGGGTGGGTGGATGGGTGAGTGGGTAAGTGGGTAGGTGGGTAGGTGGGTAGGTAGGTAGGTAGGTAGGTAGGTAGGTAGGTAGGTAGGTAGGTAGGTAGGTAGATAGATAGATAGATAGATCTATCTTTTGGATTTCCCAAAGCCTGTAAGTTCCACCAGGAGGGAATTGCACTTTTGTTCATGTGTGTATGTCAAGCACACGAAATATTTGTTGGCTGATCTACGCGGTTGATCAACCTGGTTTAATTTCACTTCGCTCTCATTTCCACATCCAGAACTGAAAACGGCACCAAAGCTGTTGTACATGTCGGAGGAGTTAACATTTGCCAACATCGGAAAGCCTCTCTTTATATCCTGCACCCTGGATCTAGCCTCCAGCCCCAACACCCTATGGGGCCCCAACTCACAGAGAAGTGGCCAAACTTGTCCCAGCCCGTAGAAGCCAGGTGGCCACTCCACTCTCACAAGACATGAAGTATGCCTTTCCTTCCTTCGCAAAGCAATAACTCGAAAACGATGGGGTTAAAAGATACCAAAAGCCCAGAAAGTGGCGGGGACAGGGAAAGGAAAGCGGGAAGGAATCCACAGACCCAGTCAAGCCTCTCGCAGTGGGAAAAGCCTCTGGTGCTAAAAACTGTGTCCTCACCTCCTTTTTTCTTTGGGCAGAAGCTGAAGGAATCTTGTACAAGAGCAGCAGCGCCATGGCCAAAGTCGCAGAGATAGACCAAAACCACCGACGCGCTGCCATGTTCGCTGCTCTCCCCGGGGTAAGCCAAACTTTCCTTAGGCTGGGTATGTGGGACGGACGTGAGAACTGGGAAACCCACCCCTTCTCTTTCCTCATTGGCTAAACTTAGCCCTGGTAGGCGACCCCTCCCATAACGTCACAGCGCGTTACAGCTAGACGCCCGCTAAAAGACAGTTCGCCTCTAATTGGTCTTCGTTAGCCAATAGGAAGAGGATCATCTGGAGGTTTTTCATTGGTCCGTTAAAAATTATGGGCCTCCCCTTTCGTGCTGGGAAAAGATGTCGAGCTGAGCGGCTGTGAAACACGCGTGCGCAGTTGTGGAATGCTGCGGGTATTTTCAGTTCAAAATAGCTTGGGGTTGCTAAGACGCAATTTTCTCCCCAAGACTCGTTTAAAATTCCTTGAAATCCATTTCATTTAATCCCAAGTATTTGAAAAAGAAAAAAAAGTAGAAAAACAAAAATATACTTAATATAACTGGAGGATTTTTTTTTTAAGTGCAATATGAGTAAGAATTTGAAAAAGCAGGGTGTGGTGGCGTATACTTGCAATGCCAGCCCTCGAGCCTGAGATAGTTTCCGCTTCCGCTTGGGCTACATAGGCAGACCTGACCAAAAAACAAAACAAAACAAAAAAACAGTCAAGCCAGGTGCCGGTGGCTCACGCCTGTAATCCTCAGGAGGCTGAGATCTGAGGATCATGGTTCAAAACCAGCCCGGGCAGGAAACTCCGTGAGATTCTTATCTCCAATAAACCACTAGAAAACCAGAAGTAGCGCTGTGGTTCAAGCGGTAGAGTGCTCTCCTTCAGCTGAAGAGTGCGGGGACAACGCCCAAGCCCCGAGTTCAAGCCCCACGACCAACAACAACAACAACAAAAAAAAAACAGGCGCAGGTGGCTCAAACTTGTGATCCTAGCTACCCAGGAAGCTGAGAGCTGAGGCTCATGATTCGAAGCCAATCCGGGCAGGAAAAGTTCATGAGATTCATAATCTCCAATTAACCACCAGAAACCGGAAATGGAGCTGTGGTTCAAGTGGTAGAACAAAGGGGAAAGAGGGGAAAAGCTAAGGGAGTTCAAACCCCAGTTCTCCCCCACCCCCCCTAAAATTTAAAAAATTTAAAGTCTCAAAGAGAAAACGTGAGAGTCGGGGTGATGGTGGTTCATGCCTGTAATCCTAACTACTATGGAGACAGATCTGAGGATCATAGTTCAAAGCCAGCCCAGGGAAAGAAAGTCTGTGAGACTCTTAAGACTCCAATAAACCACCAGAAAATCGGAAGTAGAAGTGGTGCCATGGCTCAAGTGGTAAAACACTAGCCTTAAGCAAACCAGCTCAGGGACAGGGCCCAGGCCCACAGTTCAAGCCCATGACGGACCAATAAAAAATAAAAAAGAGACATATCTCGTGAATCATATTGACAAAAATACAAAAGTTATACAATATAAGCCATAAACAAAGGTAAAATAGGCACTCTTACATGTTGTTGAAGAAATGCAAATCATACACTATCTCTATAGGGTAACTTGATAATATTCAAGAAACACCACACTTTAATTTTCACATTCTTTTGGAAGTATTAGGATTGAACTCAGGGCCCTTGCATGTAAGGTAGGTTACTATATGTTGATCCATGCCTCTAGTCCTTTGTGGGGTTTTTGCTAGTCCTGGGGTTTGAACTCAGGGTCTAAGCACTGAACCTAAACACCTTTTGCTAAAGGCTAGCACAGTGCCACTTCTGGCTTTTTCTGTGTATGTGGTACTGAGGAATCGAACCCCAGGGCTTCATGCATGCTAAGCAAGCACTCTACCACTAAACCACATTCTCAACCCCACTTTGTGGGTTTTTAAAAAATATTTTATTCAACCTGGGCACCAATGGCTCATGCTTATAATCCTATCTACTCAGGAGGCTGAAATCTGAGGATTGCAGTTGGAAGCCAGCCCAGGCAAAAAAGTCCATGAGAGGGCTGGGATTACAGGTGTGAGCCACAGGTGTCCAGCATAAAAATTTACCCATTCTAGACAGAACCCTGCTTGATTGATTGTTTAAAAAATTCAGGGGACATGACACTTTTCAAAAAGAAATATATTCAATACCTGACTTATATAAGCATAACCTCTTTGTACATCACCCTTACAATAAAAAATACCAGCTGGGCTGGGAAGGTGGCTCAGTGGTAGAGCGCTTGCCTCATGTGCATGAGACCCTGGGTTCAATTCCTCAGCACCACATAAACAGAAAAAGCTGGAAGTGGCACTGTGGCTCAAGTGGTAGAGCACTAGCCTTTAGCTGAAGAGCTGAGGGACAGTGCCTAGGCCCAGAGTTCAGCCTCATGACCAACAAAAAAAAACAAAAACAAAAACAAAAAAATATCAAGCTCATGTAACTGTAACCCCTCTGTATATCACCTTTAGAATAACAATAAATAATTTAAAAATACAAAGGCATTTTTACAATTATTAGCTTGATTGACACCACTAGGGTATAAGAGCAAGTATTCTTTGCCTTATTTGCTATGTCTCCTTTTTTTTTTTTTTTGGGTAGGTTGTGGGGCCTGAACTCTGGACCTGGGCACTATCTCCCAGCTCTTCAGCTCAAGCTATTATTCTACCACTTGAGCCACAGCACCACTTCCAGCTTTTTCTGTTTATGTGGTGCTGAGGAATCGAACCCAGGGCCTCATGCATACAAGGCAAGCACTCTACCCTACCACTGAGCCACCTTCTTTGGAGAGGATTCTTTTTTTGTTTTGGTCGGTTGTGGGGCTTGAACTCTGGGCTTGGGCGCTGTCCGTGCGCTCTTCAGCTCAAGGCAAGCACTCTACCGCTTGAGCCACAGCACCACTTCCGGTTTTCTAGTGGTTTTTATTGGAGATAAGAGTCTCACAGACTTTCCTGCCCCGGCTGGCTTTGAACCGTGATCCTCAGATCTCAGCCTCCTGAGTAGCTAGGATTACAGGTGTGAGCCACCAGCACCCAGCCTGGAGAGGATTCTTGTAGTGGCAATGGTGATGGGGCAGGCTAGTGCCCATGACATAAATACAGTGCTGTGGTGTGGAAAGGTATGGCACATCTTCTATCTCACTTGTGAAAGTCTTTCTCCTTAGAATGGGCAATGGGTCCCTTTTTGGGGAGTGGAGAGTCTTGGTGAGGTGGTCTGTTGAAGAACCAGGCTTTGTTGTTGTTTCTCAATTCTCGCTTACAGTTTCAGATAAAGAATCACAGGGTTCCTCTTTAATGGGAGAGTGCTTAGGAATTTTTGTTTTGACTTTTGAAAATTCAGGAGCTGAAGTTTCCTTCTCCTTCTTCTTTCTTCTTCTTCCTTCTTTCTTCCTCCTCCTCCTCCTCCTCCTCCTCCTCCTCCTCCTCCTCCTCCTCCTCCTCCTCCTCCTCCTCCTCCTCCTCCTCCTCCTCCTCCTCCTCCTCCTCCTCCTCCTCCTCCTCCTCCTCCTCCTCCTCCTCCTCTTCCTCCTCCTCCTCCTTCTCCTCCTATTCTTCTTCCTCCTCATTCTTTCTTATTTTACTGGAGTCTTTCTTCCTATACTTCCAATTGGGGGTTTCCTTTTATGTCCCTTGGAAAACTTTTTTCCTTATATTTGAGGTGGAGTCTAGCTTTGTAGCTCAGGCTGGCCCAGAACTCACAATCTTCCTGCTTCAGCTTGGGGTTACTCTGGTGGGCTTCTTACAATTCTGTGATCTCTTTTCCTCTCTCTGCCTCCTTCTCTTCTTTCTCTTATTTTGTGCAATATCTAAGGCTGGAATTCAGGGCCTGGGCACTGTCCTTTAGTGTGTTTTGCTCAAGGCTGGTGCTCCACTTATGGCGTTTTGGTGACTAATTGGTGCTAAGGGTGTCACAGACTTTCCTGTGGGGACTGGCCTTGAAGCATGATCTTAAGATTTCAGATTCTTGAGCATACGTTTGAGCCACCAGTACTTGTCTGACTTTTTCTAAATTTGGAATTATTTCAAAATTAAAAGTAAAGTGGAACTGGAGCTGTGGCTTAAGTGGCAGAACCCTAGGCTTTAGTAAAAAACTCAAGAGAGAGCTCAGTGCTTTTAGTTCAAGCCCCAGTTGTACACACACACACACACACACACACACACACACATACACAGAGTTTGACCAATTAGTTTGTGGTAAGTGGAGACAGAAAATGAGTTTTGAAGGAGCAGAAAGAACAGTGATGCAGTTCTCCTCTACAGATCAGTAAACCTTTCTTCTAGGAGCTTTCTGACTTCTATCAGATGGTACTTATAAAATGCCAGGGCGCCAGTGGCTCATTTCTGCAATGTAATTCTCGCTACTTAGGAAGCTGAGATCTGAGGATTTGGGTTGGAAGTCAGCCCAGGCCAGGCGGAAAAGCCGTGGAGAATCTTCCATTAACCAACAACAATAACAACAAAAACCTTAAGTGGAGGTGTGGCTCCTTGAGTAAAAAAGAAAAACCAAGCCCAAACTCTGAGTTCCTAGCCTTAGGGCTAGCACACACAGAGATTCAGAGACAGTGACACCCAGACAGTGATACAGACACACGCAGCATTGAAACTACATTTCCCAAAAGGCATTAAGACTTTTCTCGCGATATAAAGTACTGCAGGTTTCCTGGCTTAAAAATCTCGCGAGATACCGCCAAATCTCATTACAGGTCTTAAGTGAAAGCCATTTTGTTTTTCAGGGTTCTTTGCAAGGGTACCTAAGGAGAATTCGCGTGGTCCAGCCCAGCCGCCGTTGCTTTTGTCTTAGCTACAGGTCCGCGATGTTTTCCTTGGCCAAAAACGCTATAAGCCGTCTCCAAGGTGAGCAAAAATTGTGAGGAAGTCATTTACAGCTTCCTTACATCTGTCCTTTGGGTCTTTCGCGCCTCCAAATCCTGACCATGTCATTCTAAATGCCGAGTCTGTTTCCGCCAAGGCTTGCCATTACCATTGTCACCCACTGTTTTCATTGTTGCCTTTCAAGATTGCTGTCTGCTATCCAGAGCTGAGCACTGTACTTTAATTCTTCAGGTAATTCTTCAGGGAGAGGATCTCAAAGAAGAGCATTTCATGGATACCTTTCTTCTCCTTACATTCGAAATTTTATCTTTGGGAC